ATTTATACTCCTCTTAATGATAAATTCCACACTTGGTAGTGGAAAATTCAAGTGAAAAAAAAATTAGACAATTAGACATAGGAGAAATCTTTTTCTTTTTCCTTTTTTTATTCTAAGTCTGCAGACAATTCCTAACTAACAATTCCACCCATATTTCTTTGGATCTCAAGCGAAACTCAGACAAATCTCCGAAAAGTATTGTACATGCACATTGTTACATCGGTGTCCCTTTCATAGCGCTCTCTGGCGCTCTGCGACGCCTAACCACCACAAAACTCGGTCCTCCCACGACCCGTCAGGGAGTTGGCACTGGGCACTCCCTCATTTCCTTATTCTTTCTCCGAGCGTCCCCTTCGTCTCCTCTCAGGAGGAACTCAATCAAGCATCATCTTCGGCAGCTTTTCTTCCGCCAGCCTTTTAACATGACCCTACCAAACAAGCACAAATACATTATTGTCAAGAATTGAAGTGTTTGAGACAATTTTCCGGCCTTGCAATGATGATACGTTTCTTCGTCGGGGAAGCGACAAATTTTCCCATTTCTGCGGGCTGATCGTTGAAATTGTTAGACAAAACTATAGACAGGGAAGACAAAAAGGATATGGAGGGATCCTATCGGTGGAAGCGAGTGGTTGTAATGGACAAAGGAGGTAAGTAATAAACTAACTAACGGTAACCTACAAAAGACCCTTCACTGGGAAAAAAAAGAAAAGAAAAAAAAAACAAAGAAAAAAAAAACATTGGATCTAGAGTACAGGCTCTTGAAAACATTGACAAGAAAAAATACTCTTGATTCGATCAGATTTAAGCTTAAATCAAAAAAAAATCCGCTCAAATTAAGAGGCTTGGTTCTTGATTTAAGCTAAAATCTGATTGAATCAAGGGTATTTTTTCTTGTCGATGTTTTTAAGAGTCTGGACTCTAGATCCAGTAAGTTTTTTTCCAGTGTTTAGTTGGTCCATCATATTCTCCCTCAGACTATGGGAACCACCCAAATTAACCAATGGGATCGCTGTGTACTCCTTTGTGTCTTTATGTCTTCTTTGTCTAGAAATCAGCATGCAGCTGCGCGTGCACATTCTTGGGACACATTTCTGTAGGCCTGGATTTGACGTGAATTTCCCGGTGTGCGTAGATCAATTGAGAGCGGCTAGACGCGGAGTAGTGGTCGGGACGCGTCTGACAACTGGCCAGTCGAGTGGAGCGCGGTGCGGGCAGCGTGGTCATGATCGCCGATTTGTCGCCGCGCGCCGCAACAGGTGTTTCGCCAGGCGAGAATACGAATTCCCGCTCGTCCCGTCCTCAAAAGACCCCCCGCAGTCTCGACTATTCCTCTCCAATCGCAGCTTTTCACCACAGCAGCCTAAGAATAACAGCCGGGAGCTGAGGAATATCGGCTAATTTCCCCCATTTTCCGTATTCGAGGTATCTAGATCATCTTCATCCTGAACTGATGAATGGTATGCGAATGTACAACACTTTTATGGCTATCAGAATGAACAGCTTTTTCAGTAGTTTGAATCAGCAAAGGATCCAGATTGATTCATCGGATCTCGCATTTTCACCAGGTGTAGCTGAATAATAACAGTCGGGAGCTGAGGAATATCGGTTAATTTCCCCCATTTTTCGTATTCGAGGTATCTAGAGCATTTTCATCCTGAACTGATGAATGGTATGCGAAAGTATAACACTTTTGTGGCTATCAGAATGAACCACTTTTTCAGTGGTTTGAATCAGCAAAGGATCCAGATTGATTCATCGTCATATTAACTAAAGCTCATTTTCTTCAATGAAAGTTAAAGGAGAACATTGAGGCCGTCCCCAAATGACGTAACGTTCTAGGGGGTCGAGGAGAGCGTTACGCCATTTTGTTTTTACGTGTCAGAGGATGGTAACCTACGTCACAAAATCGTCATAAGAAGGTGAGTAAGGGGAGGTCCAAAGTGCCGAAAAAATGCGTTAAAGGCCCCATAATGGTATTCCTTTTGCAGCGTTGTTTTTCTTAACCGTGCGTTAAAGTCTCCAAGTCGATGGAGTTGAAATCGACCGAGCATTTTGCTTTTTTACGAGTGGATGTTCATAATGACAGAATGCAGGTATCTCTGCATTGTTGATAACGCCGCGCAAGTCATATTTACTAACACAAAATTTTTTTTAAAAAAAATAATAGATCAATAATGCAAGGGATTAATTGAGCCATCTTCCTACGTTGTTAATATCCACTCCAAAGTGAACATTCTCCGAAGTAGATTTGACACATAATTTTAAACATTTGGCCCAAAATCAACGATCCGTAAAGTTAAAGAAATACATAATCGCACCGTTGTTTTTCTTAACCGCGCGTACAAGTCTCCAAGTCGATGTTAACCGAGCCATTTGTTTTCTTACACACGGATGTTCAAAAATGCTTATTATTAATTCGTTTTAACTTTTCAGCCACAGAATATGAGAGAGACGACTATCGTGTCGGTTTCGTTTTAATAGGGGAAAGTCGTGACGAAACGGTCAAGTGCATTTCAGATCTACTAATGTTGCGCGGAATCAATATTTTTGAATTTGCCTAGTTTTTAATTTTCCAATTTGGTTTTTAATTCCATATTTTATCCTGTGACATTGACACGTGAATTTTTCCCTTATCATACTCATTAAGCTATTTTGAAGAAAATGCAATCCGTTTGTAACTGAAAATTTTCGAGAAACAAATGAATGAAAATATAGGGCAAAACCGTCATCTAACCTCCAAGTTTTTAAAAGATGCCTTAGTCTGCGCGCGATGTACCCTCCTAGTACAAAAGGTCATAATAATATGAAAAAGCAGCATCTTTCCGAGTTCCTTTTTAATAAACTTTCCGTATCATAGAAATGNGGGGGGGGGGGGGGGGCTTGTTGTTGGGATGCAGCGGGAGCCACCGGCGGCGGCCGATGTCGGATGGCGATAAGACGCGGCGGCGCGGCGCGGCGCGGGACTTGCTTCGCGACTTCCGTGCGTCGCTACGGCGAGTCCCCCATAAATAACTTTTTCATAAACTGACCGCCCCCCCGCCCCACTCGGCCGTATCCCTCGCCCGCGGAGTATCACCTAGCCGCCTAGCACCCAGCGCGGCACGCGACGCACGCGTGGTATCGCACGTCCCGCGCGTGCGCTTGCGGTATTTTAATTGTGCCGCAAGTCCCACGATCGGATTTCCGACGAGCTTGCACTTGCACTCAAAGTATACAGGGTGTCCCAGGATTAAGTACGAATATTATAAGAGTCGACTCTTTGGGTCAAAAAAGGACGTGTTTGTGGTATAACTGTTTTCCGAAAACGCTTTCCCCGGGGGCTACGGCCTCCCAAAGATGGAGAAAAACAATCGTCTTCTTAACACCGTGACAATGTTTATTAACCGATATTAATGACAATTGGTCGTTGGAAGTAATTTTTAGCGTTCTTTTCATTTTGGACCTCCGAAAAAGGGAAAACGCATTTTGAAGGGGGGTTTAGAGGGGTATCAAACCTGAAAGTGGCCGAAATTCATGTTTCCAGCAACAAAAATTGATTTTTAACGGCACCATCAGGTAGATTCAGCGTTGAAAAATATTGAGAAGATGAATCTTGTGTTTTGTCGCTATGAATCATCGTTTTCGAGATAATAGGTACTCGGTACTGAATGGAGCGCGGGTGGGGGTGCGGTGGCCCCCAGGGGAAGCGTTTTTGGAAAATAAGTTATAATACAAAAACGTCCTTTTTTGACCCAAAGCATCGACTCCTTCTATATTCGTACTTAATCCTGGGACACCTTGTCTATTGGAGGTATTTATCTCGGCGTATGGTAAGCTTGACACAGTAACAGGTCAAGTGAAATCGGAAGAGAGATAATCAGTTCCGTTTTGTTGGCATATGCAGACGATATGCTAAAAGTGCTTATCACCCAAAATAAAGAGACATTGTTACAAGACAGTGAAAATATAACCNTCGCTACGGCGAGTCCCCCATAAATAACTTTTTCATAAACTGACCGCCCCCCCGCCCCACTCGGCCGTATCCCTCGCCCGCGGAGTATCACCTAGCCGCCTAGCACCCAGCGCGGCACGCGACGCACGCGTGGTATCGCACGTCCCGCGCGTGCGCTTGTGGTATTTTAATTGTGCCGCAAGTCCCACGATCGGATTTCCGACGAGCTTGCACTTGCACTCAAAGTATACAGGGTGTCCTAGGATTAAGTACGAATATTGAAGGAGTCGACTCTTTGGGTCAAAAAAGGACGTGTTGTGGTATAACTGTTTTCCGAAAACGCTTTCCCCGGGGGCTACGGCCTCCCAAAGATGGAGAAAAACAATCGTCTCCTTAACACCGTGACAATGTTTATTAACCGATATTAATGAAAATTGGTCGTTGGAAGTAATTTTTAGCGTTCTTTTCATTTTGGACCTCCGAAAAAGGGAAAACGCATTTTGAAGTGGGGTTTAGAGGGGTATCAAACCTAAAAGTGGCCGAAATTCATGTTTCCAGCAACAAAAATTGATTTTTAACGGCACCATTAGGTAGATTCAGCGTTGAAAAATATTGAGAAGATGAATCTTGTGTTTTGTCGCTATGAATCATCGTTTTCGAGATAATAGGTACTCGGTACTGAATGGAGCGCGGGTGGGGGTGGCCCTCAGGGGAAGCGTTTTTGGAAAATAAGTTATAATACAAAAACGTCCTTTTTTGACCCAAAGAATCGACTCCTTCTATATTCGTACTTAATCCTGGGACACCTTGTCTATTGGAGGTATTTATCTCGGCGTATGGTAAGCTTGACACAGTAACAGGTCAAGTGAAATCAGAAGAGAGATAATCAGTTCCGTTTTATTGTTTTTCAACCCATTTCACGACTCAGGTCGGATCCTTTGGAAATCATCCATGTCATCAATCATAATGTTGATCAATCATCATGTTAATACTGTTTTTGATGATAACGATGCTGACCGTCACATCGAAGTAATTTAACGTTGATTTTCCCTTTGTTTTTTTCCAGAATGTCGGCAGCAGAAGAGAAAACTCTGAGGATCGGGGAGCAGACACAACTTCCGTCATGTCTGCGACAGATGCTGGAGCAAGAGTGTTGTACCGACGTCACACTTTGCTGCCAGGGGAAACGGTTCAGTGCTCATCGTGTCCTGCTCTCTGCCTGCAGCACATATTTACGGGTAAGAATCAATAATTTCGCACTAAAACTCTTTGCTTGCATCATACTCAATTTGTAGCAAATTTCGGACGACGGGCCGAAACCTGAGTCCTCGAAGAAGGAAGAAATTAGTAAGGGTTACTTTCAGAGGCAAGCACGGGAAGGTGATCACACATAAGATGAAAGAACGGAATGACATTTTTTGGGATTTCGAGGAATGTCAGCATATTTTGGTGCATTTTCTCTGAACTTCCTTTACAAAAGAGAAAAATATCGCGAACTCAGTTTTTTTCATTTATTTCCAATCCTCACAATAGAATGGATTCGGCAAACGCAACTAAGGTATCACCTCTTGTGGCGTGTAAATATTAACGGTTTTGAATGCGTCATCGTCACTTTGTCAAAATGCTCAATCAATTATCACTGTTTAAAGTAGTTGCCTTCTCGAGAACGATCCCGGCGAAATTGAATTTACGGAAACTTACCGAGACCTAGCTTTTACGCTGCCTCGAGGAGTGACTTACGTAATGTGAAGTGATGCATTGCAGACCGTAAGTCAAGAAGAAATCGGACTTATCGACACTTGCAACTTCAGTGGGGCCAAGATTCGATCTTTCGGAGCTCTACAGAAACCTAATTTATCAACGTTAAATCAACGTTAATCTTCGAAACATTGTAGACGTGCAGCCTTGATGTCAAATTTCGCACCTTTTGTATTGTTAAAAATACAGGATTGACTTCGGAGCATAAATTATTCAGCTATTTGGGTCTTTTTTTCTGTAGCAGTTTCAGTACCATATTTCGCCCAGATAGTCTCTGATTGAAGTAACACCTCTAGCGGAATCGAGTGTCTTGCTCATCGATCCTAAAAAACAATTCCTGTCTCACCTTACAATTAGCCACAATGACTTTAGAGTGCAAATCATGGGCTGCTGTGGTGTATGATGATCCCCATCAATCTCTCCTCTAGTTTTTGTAAATTTTTCCGTAATTTGAACAAGTGACAAAGCCATATACTTTATCCAGAAGAAAAAAAAATGGCTTCCTGAACTGGAGCCAAAATTTGAGGTTTCTTCTTACATCCGAACGGCAACAGAGCTCCGAACTTTTCTGGAGCCAATCCTCGTCGTAGAACTGAAACCGCGGCCGTGAAGGACCGTAGGGTTGGTTGAGGTGTATCCAACAATCCCCACTGGTGGTAACGTCAACCAAAAAACGTGGCGTCTGACTTAATGAAAAATGCCGAATGAACCCTCAGGCGTTGCCATATTTCCTACTATAAAAACGGATTTACCGGGAAAATTCAATATAGTTTTCTTCCATTATTTCGAACAAATTTGTTCGCAATTAAATTTAAAATATGTGAAAACTTCAAGGAAAATCAAACATAACTTTTCTCAAACATAATATTTTTTCGTGGGAAATTTGGCAACATTTGAATGCTCGTACGACGTTTTTCCTTAGCACGGCAGAGCGGCTGACAGGCAACAGATTGCCGCCCGAGCTGGATGGACGCATCGACGCGGTGACGTAACCGCGCGCCAGCCGTGAAAATTGATGAAGACGTATGCTGCACACCATACATCTCGCATCCCGCCCGTCAACTTTCTATTGTCTTCTGCGTTCCGCGATATCTCGACAGAGGCCGCTGCCGTCGACTCTCGAACGATATCCCGCGAGCGCCACCCCGGCGAGGCGGTTCTTCGATGGATCGCCCGTGCCGCGATTTCAGGAGCCGCATCGGAAAGGCCGCAAGTGCATCAGTCATCCGGATTAGCGCGGGCGCCGTTTTTCATGTCGATCGATGGTGGAACTCGGGAGATAAGACCGCGCGCGGCTGGCAGGCCCCGTGGCAGCGCCGCCAACTCCAGCTCCACGAGCGCCGTTCGGCCCAAGATGCGTTTTGCTTAAATTAATGGTTCTTAGTCGTTAAGTATTTCTAGAGTTGTTCATCAACAAAACCAGAGGTAGAAAATTTCATCAAAAATATCCTTTTAAGATCCTTTATAAAATTTTGAAGTTATTCTTACAAATCCTAAGAATATTCACCTGCTCCAAATTGGTTAATTTATGCAAATATCCGGAGCACGAAGTTACTTCTTATTTTCTTTTGGGGATCTTCGTGAGATTTCAATTTCTCCAATCGATGTCTTATGTAACATAGATGACACTATGCCCCAACCACGCCCTCTTATGGCCGTTACGATAAAGCGTTCTTTGACGCAGCTCTAATGTGTATCTTCACGCTAAATGATAACTATTCTAACACGGCCGTAAGAGGATTGCATACTCAACTTTTTGCAGGAACTTTTACGAGATTCTCAACTGTGTTCATCAAACCATCACATCATTGTGTTCAATGACCGCAATCTCTCCAATAATGTCCAACGCGTTAGGACTTAATCTTTATGCGCGCGAATCTCATCTTTTTTTATTTTGCTTAATTATAAGTTCTTTGGTTGATTAATTTCAACGATCAGCAACCAGGCTATTTACGTCGGAAACCAGGAAATCACCTTAAATTTTGATATTTACCCGCTTAAAGAGCTTAAAATTTCTTATGGATCATTAGAGCTTAAAGGATGGATTTTTGGAGGGAAGTAATTTTGAATTTTGATACGTGTAGTAGGTAATTAGTTAGTTATCCATCAATGTACGATTCCAGGACTAACACTTCTAACCCATTAAGCCATCCAGAAAATATACTTTTGTAGTGTCGAATTGGTGCATAAACGCTCATATTCCACCCTGGAACGGTAAAATAAAGCAATCAATGCTCGGTTTTCATTGAACGTGCTTATACATCGATCCCTTAATGTAATCATCTAATCAAAATAAACCCTCTTACCTCCATTCAGCATTTCCTGATCGCAGAATCAATAACATTTTTCGGCCTTCAGTTCCGGCAGATAAGAAAGCAATAAAATGCCCCCGAACGAACCCTGGAAGACCGGCTAACACGTCATGCACGGCAACTGCAAGGCCCATAAAAGGCGGATACAAATTTTTGAGGCATTAACGTGCTAATTACGAATTGCATCTCGGCACGGACGGTGGATCAGGAACAAGGGACGGGTGGTTTCGAGGGGGGGGGGGGGAGGGGAGGCACGGCTTTCTTCGGATGATTAATGGCGCAATTATTGACCGGAGATAAGTTGATTTCTTGGCCGGTGAATTAATCTTGCTCTTCAAAATATTTTTATTCTCATAATACGCGGACGAGCGGGCAATACGGACGCAGGTATGTGTATATGGATACGCGCCGATATGACGATAGACATATAGCGTAGACAGACGGCTTATCGCTCCGAGAATCGGCTCGATGTGAATTACCTGCCGGATTGTCAGATTGGGCGCGGGTATGGAGATCTCAATGCGGATGAAGATGAACCCCGAGACTCCAATGAGGTCAGTGGCGTCTTGTCGACTCGATCTTGAGGAGGGTATAGATAGGGGAGGAAATAACTCGTGCGGATAGGAATACGAAAAGAGAGGACAAAACTTTTGACAATTCAGTGAACTAACGAAAACTTTTTCCTAGAGGGCGAATTACCAAAACATGCGGAGGGTTATTCTGTCGTATTATGGAAGAAAGCTGTTAGAACCTTCAATATTACCAATTTCCTTTTAAAACGCTGCTAAATAGCCTTCAAAATTACCAATTTCCTTTTAAAACACTATTCCAGACGAATTTTCAAATATTTATCTTTCGATTTGCCGGAGAATTTTCTTTCCAATTAGCCTAGAGGATCATAAAATTTCAAGGAAAAACCCCTCATAACCTTCAAATGAAATTAATTATTATATCATGTGAAATTTGACATCGTCCGAACGTTCATACAGTGCTCTTTCTTAGTATGACGGTATTCCTCCAACTCCCAGCTGAAACCCTTGAGTTAGGTCAACACAGAAGGGCCAAAATTATATGAAGTCGGGGTTCCGAGAACTGCAAAATGAATTTTTATCAGCTGTCGACCTTATGGATCCGTTCGAAAGGAAACCAAGAATACTTTCTCATCGCGCAAATGAGAGATTGTCGGTCAACCTTTTATTTTAGCATGACCAATTACCATGATTCTCGCCCTTCTTATTCCACTCCCTTTCTTTCTTCGGGTTTTTTTTTCCTTTTTACGTCAGTAAAACTTTCATATACCAGATCTGGCACATCGCCTCGAACCTCCTGATTTTTCGATAGCGGGCAACGCAGGTCACGAGGACAGCGAGGTCAATTTTTTAGAGTCGCGCTTCTGGGCTGGTTGCGCTCCTCCACATACACGCATGCGCCCGACGAAGATGAATTGCACTTTTGCAGCACTGCATTTTGACGGCAGGCTAGAAAGTAAATAATGAACGGACGTAGAAAAGTTGTCATATCGGAGAGAGGGTATCCGTTTTGGTGTCCCGCACGCTGCGGAGTGGAATCACCGAATATTCGAGGCGCGCTGCTTTCAGGAAGTGGGAGGTCGGGGCGAGCCTGCTGCTGCCGTGGACGGGTAATTTACATGAATCAGCACTGATTTGTTGGAGAGATTCGCTGACTATACTGTAAATGGGATAATGAGGGCCGGGTAAAAAACTGTAATTTCCGAGAATTCGTGGCCCGCAAGTTGGCCCAAGAATGATCCTGGTTCCCGCTCATACCAGCCGCCAGTAGACTCAGATCCTGATTCCTGAGGTAGAATAATGTTCACAAATTATTGTTTTGTTTTGAACATTACATTAGAAAATTTTGAGAAGTTTTTTGAATTTTCTGTACAACGCAAAAATCTGCATCGCAGTTTGAACAAACAATTTTGCACAGGTTTGTGAAAGCTATTTGTAGATCTTTGACTCCGAAAAGATGACCTAAAAAGTTTTCTTTCCCATCTTACTCTAGATCTTGCATTATAGTTTTGATTTATAATTTGATTTAAAATTAACTAAAATGCAGCTATAAAGGGAAGAAAACGTGTTCACTCAAATATCGCGCACGGCTGTAAGAATGCTCGAAATGCATTCTCCTAATTCTAGTGCGTTTATGAG